TTGGCTGTGGGACTCTGTTTCCATCAGCTGCTGGATGAAGCCCCTCAGAAGACAGTTGTGCTAGGCTCCTGTCTGCAAGCATAGCAGAGTATCATTAATAGTGTCAGGGGCTAGCTCTCTGCTGTGGGGCAGGTCACAAGTTGGGCTAGTCGTTATTTTGCCATTCCCTCAATTTCCACTCCCTGTTTATCCCTACACTTCTTGTAGGTAGGACAAATTTTGGATCAAAGGTTTTATGGATAGGTTGGTTTCCCCCTCCCTCCAGTGACACCTTTTATGAGAAACATTTTTGTATATTTTTTGAGTACACATATAGCAGCACTAATGCTAATTCAAGGTATTGATATACACAGTCTCCATGTCTGCAGTAGTATAACTTCTATTGTGTAAATTAAGACAGACTTAGAGTGATTAAGTAATTGTTCAAGGATACAGATAATTAGTAGCAACAGCTGCATTTGAATCTGTGACTCCTGGATTTCTAACCTGAGCTGGTACATGATCTGACTTGTTTGTTCAGCCCATGGTAGTGTCTCAAGCAGCACTCCTGATATATGCTAGCAAGTCAGTGGATGTAATTTGCAGAGCATTTCTTTTAGACCTTTAGCTTTTCAAGTGATCTGTGAGGCTCCCTGCAATCCCATCTGCTGCTGCATTTCCAGTCTCTGCCATTCTGGGGAGAAGTTCATTCTTTTACTTCATCCATGTATTGAAAAAAAGGCCGTGGGTTGGGCACTGGGCAGCTATGAGCATGGGCAGAAATGGCCCTAGAACTTGAAGGTTTGTGCACTCAGGGAAAGAATGAGGCAATGACCATACTGGAGGATAGGTGTAACTGCAGGTTAAACAAGAACCAGTGAGGAGGAGGACAGCCGAGGGAAGGACAGGGCTCTCAGAAGTAGGGCCCTGTTATCCAAGACCCAAGAATGGGCCAGTCAGGTGGTGAGGATGAGCGTGGCACTAATCTTCCAGATGCAGAGAGAAGACCTGAGGCAAGCACTGAGACCTGGAAGTGAAAGAATGGAGTGCAGGAGGAACTGAGAGATGCTCTATCTATGGAGCTTGGGGTTTGGGGAGAGGGCAGTGACTCATCCAGGGTAGGCTGTGGTGCCGACTGCCTTCACCACGAAAGCCTCAGGGACTCCCATCTGTTCCAAGTCCCGCAGGAGCCTGGGCTTTGTGGGGTACTTTCCTGGGAAGCGGGCCCCACTGACACATAACTGGACGTGCACTCCGGGTGAGAAAGGGTGAAGCACAGAGTCAAAGCAACTCAGGGCTCCAGAACCAAACCAGTTGGAAACACGGGTCCAACCTGACTTTGGCAAGTCGGCGGCTGCTTTGTGAGCAGCTGGTAATGAAGGCTTGCTTGGCGCTCCTAAGGAGAGAGGCAGAGCAGGAGCCCAGTTTTGTCTCGCTGGACAAAATGGCTGCCTTGGGAACTCCTGTTCCCCAGCAGGTGGACAGTTGCCAGGAAGATGGCAGCAGTGATCTGTGCTGACAAACCAGTGAATGGTGGAAGCTTGCTGTGGCCAGCAGCACTTGGCTGAGTGACGGGAAGCCAAGCCCAGGGCCTGTTGGTCTAGAACAGAAGGGGAACCTGTCCTTCCTCAGAATAGTCTTAGCTGATTGTGGTGATATAGATGGTGCTGACCTCTTTAGTGTATAACAGGGACTTACAAAACTTGGGCAGTGGGAGGGGTTTTGAGGGCTAGGGGTACCAGGGATACTTGATTTACATGTAACAAGAGTACTTGATTATCCTATGGGTGGGGGGGGAAGAACTCCAGGTACAGTTAAAGGTCATTGGTTGAAAGCCAAGATACCTCATTAGCATAGGGTGTGTGTTTCCAGGAATACCCAGGTGCTTGCTGAATGGGTTTCTTATCATAAAGGGTTGGTTTTGTAATCTCCCTGAGGGCTCTTTAGAAAACCTGGGGTTCCCCTGAAAAGGTGGAGAGGGAACCCAACTGAAAAAGGGAGTCTGTTAATCCTATACTGAGCTCAGAGGCTATCCAGAAATGCCAGACTGAGACCTTAATAACAGGGTTCCACTTTCATCAAGCTCTCACTACTACAGTTGTTGGCGCTGTAGTGTTTTACTGGTTTTCATGCTTCCCCTCCCCCCAGTTTTAGGTATGCCGACACTTGTGTTGCAGCAAGGGTACGCCTTACTTGTCAAAACACTTTTTAAGCGCTCAGTGGTCAAATCCCACCTCAGTAGGCGGCACTGACTGCTGGTGAATGAGTGAACAGAGTTGCCCAGGCACATAGGCTGCTACTAGGTGTACCTGTGCAGCCCTGTCAGCAGACTTCCCCTTCTGTGTACCTGTAGGAGGCTGATGTGTCCACATAAAACTGCTGGAGCATGGAGGGCGAAGGCAGGCTGCTGGAAAGGCAGAGGGGAGGAGGTAGGCCTTGCTCCAGACGCAGGGTTAGAGAGACGGGGCTAGGCCCCTGCTTGTTGCTGGTTCCTTTTCAACAGCCTGCGAGCATTTAGAAGTCTCAGCACCCTGCGGGTCTCGTTTCCAGGCCTCTAAATTACTATTAGCAAGTTGATCATTCCATATAGGAACCTTCCATAAACTGTTTTCTACTGCCCATTGCAATGTTGGCACTGAGCAGGTACCAGTACCGAGTTCCTCAAAAACAGCTTCATTTTTAGTAGCCCGCCACCTTGATCCGTACTTGTTCCTTTGGGCACCCGCTTGGGATATGTTAATTTGGGTTTTCAATTCATTTTTGCTGCCTCCAAACATCCTGCAGCCACATGTAAGTCTTTCGGACTGAAAGTCCTCAAGTGTGACAGTAGCTGTTGAAAAGAGGAATGTGTTTGTGTGTCTGTATGTGTGTTCAGGACCACTTGTAGAAACACGGGCAGTGGCACGTCCCAGTCCTTCCTGCAAGCAAGGGTAGGAACCATGCATGCATCAATCATACAGGAGGGACAAGGCAAAGGGAGGCTCAGTTTTTCAAAATACAGGTGTGTATGATCCTCTTAAAAAGCAATGAGGCCACAGGTGCAGGAACTAAAGTAGCCAGGGTCTTTGTTGAAAGGCAACTGAAGGTAGAGAATAGAATCTGCTCCTTTTATACGATCACGTACGCTAAAGACCTAACTACCTGCGGTTAGCCAGGTCTGGTGGTGTCAGAACAACCAACCAAAGAGAACCCAAGACTAGTGATTCACTTGGAAAAAGCAGGTCATCCACAGACCCTCTTAAATCTCACGGAGTAGGGTGAGCAAGTGTGGCACTGAACAGCTCACACATTAATTCCTTAAAACTTCACTTAATTTCACGGCACAGTTATAACTAAATATTTTTAAAGAAAACGCAGACACGTTTAATTTACCGGATGATTAAGAAGTGGAGAGTACACGGACGCTCTCAATACTGCACAGTTTTTTCATGAAAAACAAGCCTTGAAGAAACTTGTGGTCCCGAGTGTGCCTTATGCACCGGATCCCGTGACACTCTGTCACTCGGGACGGGCCTCCCCGCCCCGCCGCTCCTTGGCTGCGGGGACGAGCCCAGATCCCATGCACGTGGCGGGCACGGGGCCCCTTCCGGCGCCCTAGGGGAGCGCGGCTGATGAAACGCTCCGGGCTGGGCCCGGGAGACGCGCTCGCCGCAGGGCGCTCGGCGGAGGACACGGGCCGGGGCTGCGCGCGGGGGCGGCGGCGGCGCCGGGACGCCTTGGCGCTGGAGGGGCGCGGAGCCTCCGACCCTGCGCGTCCCCGGGCGGCGGCGCGGCGGTGAGTGTGCGCGGGCCGTGCGCGCGCCCGCACGCCCGCGCTCGGGGATTGGGGCTACGGGGCCTGCGTGCGCGGCCCGCCGCTAAGGCTCGGGTGATCCCTTCCCGCCCCACGCGTGAGGCGTGGGATCTGCGGGGCAGGGCAGGTGATTTGTGGGGTGAAGGAGCCTCAAGGCCAAAGGGCAGAGACCGGGGAGCCAGCTGCCCAAGGCCAAGGCCAGGTACGGTGGGAGACGCCCGGCCGCGCCGTGTAGCCTTTCTGTTCTGGCTCCCTCCGTGGTTTGCTCTCTGACCTTGGATAGTCAGCTTTCTCTTCCGGGGTTTAATGCCCTCATCTTTGAAGTGGGTCGTTTGGACTCCTTGTCCAGCCAGGTTTTTCTGCCCTAAACTTTTGGGGACAGCTGCCCCTCTGATCTATTGGACTTGCAGTGTAGCCAACCAAGGAAGCTGAGTTTGAAGAAGGAAAGCCGCTTTCTCTTTCCCTTCAGAGCATCCTGGCCAGGTGCTTAGTTGTTGGTGAGGCTGCCCTGCACTGTGCAGACACAGGACCTCTGGGGACTGGAGTCTGCACAGGCTGCGACTGGAAAATCTGGTGGAAATATGCACTCCCTAAGGGACTGTCAGAAGGCTTAGGTGCTTGCTCCCTCTGTACTCTGCTTACCCTTGCTTGCGGGCCTCCCTGACTTGTGTGTGAAAACTGGAGCAGCAGCCTTTGGGGTTCTGCTTGCACCCTAGTGGCCCTGTAGTCTCTGGGCTGGATGGATACAGGGTGAGCCCCTGACCTCTGGTCTTAGCCCATTCAAATTCGTCATGGCTCCTTTCAGGCTCCACCACGGTGAAGCCTAGGACCATCTATGCAGCCCAGGGAGTCTCTCCTCCATCTAAGCTGCTCCCCTTTGCTGCCTGGTTTCCTCCTCATCTCTGGCGGCTCTCTCTGAGTGTGTCTTTCCCAGTGGCTGGTGATCACCCACAGGAAGGGTCGAGCAAAGGCTTCCTGTTGTGTGCCTGGTTTTACAGTTTGGAGTCTGGTCCTAGAAGGGTCTCAGGGAATGTTTGTGGAATAGATTGAGGACAACTACCTTCTCTCAGTAACCGCCCGTTTCCAAGTGCCGATTGTGAATGTGGAGTCGTAGCGCAATTCTAAGTTACTATTCTTGTCCCCGCTCCAGGAAGTGGAGGCCTAGAGAAGTCCAGTACCTTGCTCAAGGCTGCCCAGGTGGGAAGTGGTTGGGCTGGGCAGGTTACTTTTAGCCTTGGGTGTATGATGGCGTCTGCTGATTGGGTCTCTGTGGGCAGCAGAGGGGGCTGATGTGGGTGCTGTGATTTCTGCCCCCAACACAATGCTTCATTGTGGGGTTTTGCAACCCGCGGATCCTTCTGTACAGCCCCAGGCTTGAGCAACTCCAGCTGTGTCAGCTCCTCCCAGCCTTTCAACACTCCAGTGTTGTGAGGCTTAACTGTGGCCCTGAGTCCCCTGCCTGGAGTACAGATGTCAAGGCTGTGCCTGCCAGCCTAGCAGTTGATCAGAGGAAGTGGAGCCGTGTCAGCTCAGGGTACAACCTTGTGGCTGTTTTTGTGGCTTTTGTGCCTCTTGGGGGTTACAAGAAGGAAAGCATGGCTGGTAAGGCTGGCTGGTAAGTACTCAGTATGTTTGACACTGCTGCTATGAGTCAGGTTGAGGAGTGGAGAGGAGGCCTTGTCTGCCTGTGAGGAGTATTGCAGGCTGACTAGAATTTGTTTCTATATCATGCCTAGGAAACATGGTTTCTTCCTGATCTACTCAAAGGTACTCAAAGGCTGAAAGGAAGCCAGCCAGACCAGGTCCAGAGGTATGAGGGCATGGGTGCTGTGGGCCAAGACCCTGGAGCCGAATGCTAGAATCCTTCAGCTGATAGCCACTCAGCTTGGAGAGGGCATGTCTTGACCACATTGAGGGAAAACCACACTGAGGGAAGGAGGGAACCTGGGGTGTTGGCAGAGAACAGCATTCTTATTCTTGCTGTTATGTTTCCAAAGCAGCTGAGTGAGGCAGGCCTCCCTACCCCCACTGCACAGATGCTGTGTAGAGTCCAGGCACAGGGGTTGGGTGGGGCGGGGGTAGGGCTGAGGACAGAAGTCACAGACTACGTGAATGGCTGTGCATGTATTCTTACACAGGCTTTTTGGCTCCAATGCGTTCAGTATTTTCATGACATTTTCTTGCTTTTTGGCGTTAGGCTCCGTTAGGACAGTGGTTTGAAAATTGTTAACATTCATCTTTTTATTTGTTCTTTTTGGGAGAAGAGGCTCCTCAAAAACCAGTGGTTCTCAACTTTTCTAGTGCTGCCACCCTTTAATATGGTTCCTCATGCTATGGTGACTTTATAACTTTAGATTCGCAACTGTTATAAATCATAACGTAAATATCAGATATGCAGGATATCTTATATGCAACCCCCACAGGGGTCCAGACCTTCAGGTTGAGAGTTTAAGGCTGGGCTGGCTTCAGGTACATGTGGCTGCATGGTTGCTCAGGGACCCTCACAGAGAGTCGTTTTCCTCACAGTTTGCTTTCACGTTATGCTGCCATCATATGTTCTTCAGTTTTTGTGTCTAAGTGTGGGCACACACGTGCCATGGCATGAATATAGAGGTCAGAGGACAACTTTTGAGAGTAGGTTCTTGTCCTCTACCTTGCGGAGGCAGGGTCTGTCTGTCAGTATTTATTGTTTAGATGTATTTAATATTTACGTGTAAGTGCTTTGCCTGCACGCATGTCTGAACTGTACACATAGAGTCTGTGTGTAGTGTGTGCCTGCCACCCTCAGAGGGCAGAAGAAAGTGTTGGGTCTCTCCGGGAACTGGAGTTGTGGATGGTTGCGAGTCACCATGTGGGTGCTGGGAACTGAACCCTGGTTCTCTGTAAGTGCTCTTAACTCTGGGCCATTTGTCCAGCCCCGGGCTCTCTCTGATTGTTGGTTGGCTCACAGACTTCTTGCTTGTCTTCTGTCTCTGCCTCCCATCTTACCATAGGAACTCTGCGACTATAGACACCCTGCCACCTCATCTGGATTTTTATGTGGGCACCGGGGGGGGGGGTAGAACTCGGCCATCACGCTTGTGCCCACAAGTGCTTTTACCTGCTGAGTCATCTCCCTGGCCCCAGATCCTTCTATTCTTAACAAGAGTGCCCACATTTTTGTTTTGCAGGGTGTCCCACACCGTATGCAGCTGCTCTTGTTGAAGCAATGAGATAAACAGTGAAGAGGACAGAAGGATCAGCTTTTCCATGGAGAGGTCAGTGGCAGTAGGCTTGGGGCCCATTTTGGATTCAAGCAGGTGTGTGTCATCTGGAAACTTCATGACTTCCCCACTGTCACCTTCCTTGATATCAAATGAATGTTCTAGAGGACTATCTACCATTTGTCTACCAAATATATCTAGAGGGCATTTTGCAGGATTGATGTGCCATTCCTGGGTATTTGATGGAACATGATTTTTCTCAGGACACAGGCACAGGTTGCAGCAGATGGTAACCCACGAAGTCAGCAACGGAGACCCCATATGGAACATCCACACTTCTGCTGATGAAAGTGGCTAAAGGTGGTGCCTGCTGTGCCTCTGGGACACCTGAGGCTGGAGGCGTTGGCTCTGTCTCCATGATCCTTCAGAGCCAGATGCAAAGCCAGGACTCTCCTTATCTTTTCTCAGATAAGAGTTTAGCTGCCAATGTTTCCATGCTAGCTTTGCCCACCTGAAAGTCCTAGAGACCAAACCCTTGACTAAGTCAGACGTCTATAAACAGTCACACCAGGAGCAATCATCTTTCTTTTTATGAAGCAGGGTTTCCTGGTAGCCTACACCTGTCTAAAACTCACTGTGTAGCCCAGGTTGGTATTAAACTTTTTGATCCTATTGCTTCTGCCCATTGCATCCCTCAGTGCTGGGATTATCAGCATATGTCATGAGGCTGGACTGAGGGTGGTTTTTTTTTGTTTGTTTGTTTCTTTTTGAAACAGGGTCTTACTATGTAGCCCTGGCTGGCCTTGAGCTCACTGTGTTGACCAGGCTGGTGAACTCACATAGATCAGTCTGCCTCTGCCTCTACTAGAGTACTGGCATTGAAGGGTTTAAAGAGCTGATATTCATGGAAAGTGCTCTCTGTCCCACATGGCCTCCTGCGTGTACTTCCCATTGATTCCTGGTTTCAGGCATGAGGCAGGAGGTCTGCTAGATTTGAAGAAACCTATTCGAAGGTCTGAGGCTGAGCCACCTATCCAAGTTTACACAAGTAGGAGGCAGTGGGGTCGCAGTGTTGGACCCTGAACACAGACCTTGCCTCTTTAGAGAACTGGAATGTAGCCAGACCGTCTGGCTAGTTCTCCTCTTTGTGTCAGGACTTTTTGTATGTAATCTGTGTTTCCTGTTCCCTGGTTTTGTTTTGTGTATCTTGCAGAGCCTTGTGGGAAGCTGTATGTATTAGAAGCCAGCCTTTCCATAATGATTATAACGCCTGCCATAGACTTGCTTGCCTGGGCATCTCAGGAAGGAATGAGTGGGAGCCTGGTGTGGCTGAGCTGGAGAAGACCCCAGGCAAGAAGGGGAATTCTCAGCTGAGGCCTGCAGAAGGTTTTGGTTCCTTTTCCCTCAAAGATATTTCCTCAGCAGGGCCAGAAAGTCAGCATTTAGACTCCTGACGGTCATCCTGGGCCTTTAGCAACTCTGGGAGGGCCAGAGAGCCCAGGCTTGACTTCTTTCTTCTGCTGTTTTTCATAGGCAAGTGGAGGTGAGCCACTGCCCCAGCATGAACTGCACCCCCGGAAACAGGAAGTAAAAGCTAGAGCAGCTGTCTGCCTGCCATGGCTTGTGAGCCTCCCACAGACCCTGGTGGGTCTGCTGGTCCTCTGCCCACCTCTACTCTGGATTGCAGCACTCTGCCTCAGGGGAGCCCTGCTGGCTGGGGGCAAGGTAAGGCCATGACCTCCCTGCATCCCTTCCTTCTCATGTGTCCCATTCGTGCTGAACTCCCACCATATGACTGGGCTGTCTAGATAATTGGGTGACTTTGGGATTCAGCTCCAGGCCACTTTCTGTCATATCTACTGTGTTTTCACGGTCACTGCCCCCTGTCACCACCTTAAGCTTGATCACCAATTTGTTCTTCCCACCAGAGAACCTTTTTCAGATGTGTATCCTGCTGGCATATTCTGCCTCAGGGATTCTGACTGGACATGTCATGAAGATCCACCATTCACCAGGCCAGCCTTGGTGTTCCCTGCTGCCTTGTTCTCTGTTCTTTTCAGGGCATTCTGTCTCAGGACCTTTGTATATGATGTTCTTTCTACCCGTGATGCTTTTTTAGTGCTTGATTTCCATTCATTCTTTAGGCCTCCATTCATTCTTTCTTCCTGTGACAAATTATTTGGTGGCTTAGCCTTAGTCAGGATTTTCTGATTTATTCTTTCTGTAGAATTTGTTTAGTGTACTAGGTATCTGTGTAATAAATACTGAGTGCCAGTTTCCCTACCAGGGTGGAAGTTCAGGGAGGATAGGGCTTCGTACTGTTTCACCCTTATGGTGTCCTTAGAGCCAGCAGGAGGCCTCTGCCATAGGAGACACAGTCAGTGTTGGGGGTATGACGGGATGGATGGTAGCTGGGTGGAGCAAGGAGAAATAGTACTGTGAACTGTGGGTGTTCTGTAGAAATGTGGGGCTTACATAGAAGGCCTGAAACTTAGTGCTCAAAAAAAGGTGTATGACTTTTATTAGGAAAGAAATTTAAATATCTATATATGCTGCAGTAGAAAGGGACGGGATGAAATATTTTTTCCTTTGGGACTTGAATGACGTCCCTCTGCCAAATGTTAGCATTCTTCCTCTTGATTCTGTGTGCAATCTCCCCCTCCCCCTCCTTTTTCTCTGTCTCTGCTTTGCTTAGCTTGGGTGTAGAAGCAAGTATTTCCAAGTGCAGGACTTGTTGTTCTGATTTTAAGTAACATGAGAGATCATGTCGCCAAGAATCCGAGAACTCCTGGTAGAAAGGCAAACAAGAGACTGGGGGAAAGGTCTCTGTGGTGTTTGGGCAAATGCTTGTGAAACCCAGGGTGTGGCTGGCTGAAGGTTGCGAGTCCTGTGTGGCAAGGAGGGCACCAGTGGAAGATGTCACTGAATGCTGGCTGTGTTTGGGTACTATACTATCTATCTTGCTTGCCCCATCCCTCTACCCTCAGGTCAACTGGGTAAACTCCTCCACATGCCAGAGGCTCAGCTGCTGTTTCCATGTGACAGCACCCGCCTCTTAGGACTCTTGGAGCAAGTGCACAGTGAGGGCTCCAGTTCTAGAATGGGGGGGACTTTTAGATACCTTCATTTCTGTCCACCCCTTTTCATCAGAGTGGTCTTCAGTTTAATCTTATACTTTTTTATCAAGGTATGGGAGGGCAAAAGGCTTAGTGTTTTCATATCAGGACTTTTGATAAGGAAAGTTTGCTATGTTTCAGTTTGCTGTGATCTCACTTGGGCTAGTAATCTACCCTTGAGACCACATTCAGGCTATCATCTGTGTGGTCCACAGTCTCCCGTGGAGGCTGTGACCATCTGGTAAGGAGAGGAAATAGTTGATCCTCTAAGTTTACCTTGTTAGTAAAAGGCTGGCTCAAAGTTTGATCCCTCAAGATCCAACCTGTGTTTTTTTTTTTCCATGTCTCATATTCCTCTCAGAAAGGGAGGGGAGAGGGTAAAATTGAAAGCTCTTTTGGACAGGACTTAGAGTTTAGAATTCTGTGATGGAGTCCTTAAGATAGGTGGTGTTCTCCGTACTTGATCCAGGGTATGAGAAAAGTACACTGTCAAGACTGAGGACTAGTGTTCTATCATATTACTTACTTACTTACTTAATTAATTATTTGTCAAACATGTAAAAGAACAGACCAGCATGGAACTATGGGCTAAAGGAAGAGCTTAATGAAATAATTGAACAGTTGCACACACACATGCTCATTCTTGACATGGGCAAATGAGGCAGTGGGGCCAAGGTTAATGTCTGAGTGTGATGGAAGGCTCTACATGGCTGGACAGGATGTTGGGTGTTTAACAAAGAAGCTTGAAAATCATGCTCTTCTTGCAATTCTGCAGTCAGAGCCTGACTCTGGTTTCCCTGAGCTCACTGTGGAGGCAGTACAGGGCTGCAGTTCTTTCTGGGGGTTCTACACAGGGCTCTGTGTCCTTCCCTTCAAGGTGGTATAGATTACCCACAGTATGTAGCCCATGGCTCTTCCTCCCGTGGTCAGAGCTAGTAACGGTGTAGCTCTCTGTGCCCTTTCTCCTGACTCTGCCCTGCCTTCTTTTAAGGACCATTGTGATTCCTTCAGCCCCAGTGGGTAATCTAGGCAGGCAGCTGCCTCAGGCCAGCTTATCTGTGCCCTGAATTCCATCAGCAGTGCTTATTACCCTTTGCCCTGGCTGGCAGCATGGTCACAAGTCAGGGGATGAAGGAGTGTCCACCTGGGGTCTTACGTTTTGTGGTAACTATTTAGGTCTGAATTTGGTGCTTTGGTGGCATTTAAATTATTCAGCTGAATTTCCTGTTCAGGGCTTGACTAAACATCTACTTAGTTGGTTGTTCAGCCTCTGTTTACATGTGCCTTGTGACATGTAGGGGGCTCACTACCACATTCTTTGTGGGATGTTTTTTTGTCTGGGAAGTTTGAAATTATATAGTTAACCCCGTGGGCCTTAGTTTTGCCTCCTGGGGGCTTCTCAGTCAGGCTAAGTCTTTAGAGATTTGGAACAGCTATGGTGTCTCTCATAATGAGAAGGTACTTCTAGCCTGAGGTGTAATAGCTTCAGTTCTGAGCTCCTCCAGAGTTATTCTTGCTTGGCCTTCTGATACTGTGGTCTGCCTGCAGAGCTTCACAATGGCCAGGTCCTTACCGTCCTCCGGATCGATAATACCTGTGCCCCCATCTCCTTCGACCTGGGAGCTGCAGAAGAGCAACTGCAGGCCTGGGGCATTCAGGTGAGTTCAGCTGATTGAGTCTGTGGTCCTCTCTCTGTCCATCTGGCCATCTGTCCACCCATCAATCTCTCTGCAAACATTTCCTTAACTCCTGACTGTGCTGGCTGTGGTTAGGTACATAGGAAAGTCTATTAGAAATGTCCTTTTTCCCCAGTATGTGTGGGGTGGGTGGTCACTGTGTCCAAGCCCTGAGCTGGCTAAACTGCACAGAGGTGAACAGGACCCAGTGCTTAGCTCACACTGCCCAGCAGGAGCCAGACATGAGTTAAGTAAGTAAGGTCAGCCTGTCATGGATGCCACAGTAGAGGACCATACCCGGCCTGATGGTACAGGAGGAAGCTTTGAAATTCCATGGGGTAGGTAGTCACAACAACTTCATGGAACATTAGACCCTGATAGCTTGTTGAGGAATAAATTGAAGTATGTTGGGTGGGAGTCATTATAGGGGAGGAAACTGCGTTCATGTAAGTTCATGGAACTTACCACGTAATGGATGGGAACCTTCAAACAGTGAACCCAGGCCTGGACTAAACAGGACTGCTGTGTGGATGTGGATGCAGGCTTGCTGCTCACTGCCTGTGTGACTTGAACCTCTCCATGCCTCAGTTTTGTCTGCAAGAGAGGGTGATGTTAATGCCAGTTCTGTAGGCCTCCGTCAGGGCCGCGTGTGTGATAGCAAGGAAGGTCTGCAGCTCTTCTGGTACACAGCAGGCTCTCAGGGAACCACAGCACCTACTCCTGGCGTGCAGGGCAGTGGTGTGACTCTGTCCCCAGAGCCCTCGAGTGAGGTGTTCGCTGGGCGGGCCGGGACACGGCAGGCAGGGACACAGGCAGCTGAGTGCCCCGGAGCTTTCTGGGTCTAACATGTTGCCACCAAAGAAGACTTTGTAGACAGTACCGAGTGTCCCTGCTCTGACAAGCTGCTTTGTCCTCTGTGTTTCTACCCCACCCCTGTGTAGAACCTAACCCTCCTCCTCTCTTCTCTCTCTGTCTGCTTTCCTTCCTCCCTCCCTCTCTTGTGTGGTGTGTACATTCATATGTACACACATATGTGCAGGTGGAGGCCAGAAGTTGATGTGTTTTCCTGGTTTGGTCTCCACCTTGTTTATTGACATGGGGTCTGTCACTGAACATGGAGCTTGCCCATCTACCTAGATTGGCTGCCAGGGCTTTCCCCAAAGCACCCAGCTATTTAACATGGGTGGTAGGAATCCAAACTTAAGTCCTCATGCTTGCGCAGTAGAATCACCAATGAACCATCTTCCCAACCCCCACATTAAAGCATTGCCTGGAGATTAGTGAAGAGCTCATGTGTATATTGTAATATGTTCTTAACATGTCATTGTTCCACTTTGGAACAATGTACTGATGACAGTGATTGTTATCATGTCATGTTATGATATGTTATGTTGGTGTGTGTGTGTGTGTGTGTGTGTTTGTGTTCACTTAGCCCAAGTTACCCAGTGCTTAAATGACATGACCAGGATTTGGTCCAGGGCCTGTGCCTTGCCCAAGGCTGTCCCATGCTTTTTGGAAGGTACTGAGACTCAGGCTGTCTGCTGGATGACCTGGCCCTCAGGCTGTCACTTTCCTGCAGGTAGAGTGGCACCCTAGGAGTGCCAATCTGTGCTCTGAGCTTCTTCTTCTGCCCTCTTAGGTGCCTCAGATGTGCCTTCTCCTCCTCCCACGGGCAGTTCTGTGCGCTGGGAATGCCACGCTTGCTGGCAGGAAGAAGGTGGGGAGTGGCTGTCCTGTGGCTGATGACCTCTTTATCCTGCATGGCCTAGGTCCCTGCTGAGCGGTACAGGAACTTGGCTGAGAGTGCCCTTTTGGAACCTCAAGTGAGGCGGTATATCATCTACAACTCCAGGCCCATGCGGCTGGCCTTTGCTGTGGTAAGTAGTTGGGTAGGCCCACACTGCCTCCTGCCTTGGCCTCAGGCACACTAAATACAGCAGTGTATCCTGGGGCATAAAAGGGGACGAGGAATCCAGTTGCCTGGGAAGCCCAGTACCAAGGACATGGATTTATTGTGGATGGGGTCGGCAGAGGAGGGGAGTTGGGATTGGGAATCTGCAGACCAGTAGGCTCCCCACTCAGTGTTTTGCCCTTGGCCAAGACTTTTCTGTGAGATTTGGTTTTTCTTTTGTCCCCAGACAGGCATGTATCCTGAATTAATGATGTGCAAGCACATAGTGCACGCATGTACCTTTGTGTGCATGTGCTTGCAAACATTCACCTAACCTACATTTACACACAGACAAACACATGTGAACACGGCCAAGCAGTGTGTGAACCCAGTCTCGCTCCTGCTGCTAAACCCTTAACCAGTCAGCTCACTGGTTCTGTATGTGTTTATGGTCACGTGGTCGGAGGAGGAGATAAGGACCTTAGCCTTTACCAACTCCCTAACAAGTACTGGGCTATGAAATGTTACACTGTTAGCCCTGGAACAGCCCTGTGAAGTAGGCAGGGTTGTTCCCAGTTCACAGGTGGAGAAACTTAGGCTCAGGGTGGTGCCATAGCTTGTCCCAAGTCATATGCAAGGCAAGAATTACTGTGGGCTTTAGACCCTGAATATTCTCCTGAGTGCACTGCCCTTTTGTGTTTCGTTTGGAATCGGGGTAAGGAGGATTTATGAGTGATAGACCTTGTTATCAAACTTGAGGGGTCATAACCTCTACCCCACGTCAGGTTTACCCAGTTGGCCATCTTTAACTGGCCAAATAAAAGAACCAAATTAAAAGTGGAATGCAGAAAAATGAGGTTTATTCAACGTGGCCACATTGGAGAGAGTGATAAAGAGGTTCAGTAAACACTCCAGAGGTCCTGAAGGGAGAGCGATGTTTAAACACATTTCTAAGGCTATACACATCTACGCAGCTCAGGCAAGATGTGGCCCCGGCCACCACTGGGCCAGCTTTGTCTGGGCTTCGGTCTCATCTTCTAAGGTGGTCTGACAAGTTGTTAGAGTGGTGTGATATCTCTTTCTGAGAAACAAGATTTCCCCTTGGCTGGTGCCATTTCCCAGCAGGAGATTCCTAGCAGAATTCCCCGTTCTTTGGGGTCTATAGTTTCAACAGCCTGATCATCAGATTGAGAGACATTCGTGTCTCCTTAGAATATCTTCACTTCTGCCAGGACAGTTACAACCCATTGTCAAGAGTCACTTAAGATAACAGGGAGCAGGCGCTCAGGTCCCAGGGTTGGCAGGGATTCTTCCAGGCCCCTGGGAGGCTGTCTGACCCAAGAGGTGACGGGGTTATCCACAGGGTTGCCAGTGGGTGGCGCTGCTGTCCCTGAGAGCTCCATGCCTTCCTCCACAGGTGTTCTACGTGGTGGTGTGGGCCAACATCTACTCCACCAGCCAAATGTTTGCCCTGGGCAACCAGTGGGCAGGTGTGCTGCTTGCGACCCTGGCCGCCGTCAGCCTGACCCTGACCCTTGTGCTGGTCTTTGAAAGGCAGCAGAGGAAGGTGAGATGCCAGGGGCCCCATCTGTTCTCTCCATAGGGCTGGGTAGTCTGATGTTCTACCTCAGGCATCTCCTTCAACCACCCTCATGGCTGCACATCCATGACTAACAGAAACAAGGTCACACGTGATGCTAAATCCTTTGTTGTACATTTTTAAAAAACCAAACAAAACAGGTTCTTAACCGTGCAGGCCCATGACCTAGAACTGTGTAGACTAGGTTGGCCTGCCTGTGCCTTCTGAGTGCTAGGGTTATAGGCATGTGCCATCATGTGTGGGTCCTGTTTTGTTTGTCTTTTTGAGGTGGGGTCTTGCCAGGTAACCTAGGCTGTTCCCAAACTCACGATTCTTTCTGTAAGTGCAAGGACCACCAGCTTGTGCCGTCTTGTTCTTCTCCCCTCCTCTCCCTTCTCCTTTCCTCCCTTGCTCCTCTGGAAGGTTACTCTGTCTCACTTTAGTGCTTTCAGTTCACAATCTGATGGCCTTGTGGCTTTGGTTCTCACTGGGGCAATTGCGTGTGGTGTGCAAAGCCACTTGCCTCTTGGTCAAGGAGCAAAGGCTCTTTGTTTTCTCTTCTTTGTTTTCTTAGCCAATCACAGCAGATTTTTTTTTTTTTTTTGGAAGCCAGATGTTTCAAGAGCAGTGTTCAGTAGCCAGCATTCCTGCAGCACCCCATTTAGCTGAGCTTGCACACACACCTGTCCCTGGACCTGCACAATACTTACGATTGTTGGAGAGAGAAGGTCATGGCCCACCTCGCCTTAGTACCAGGGCTGGAGACTGAGGGCTGGGGGCCAGTGCTGTTGATTCTCCTCAGGGGGGTCGCTCCTTCACTGATAACCAGGCTTCACTTCTGTAGCAACCTGAGAGGCAGCCAGTGAGCTCAGACAGTTAGGGAACTTGTTCTGGATCCCATTATAAGGGAAGAGGCAGGGTTCAGAGCCAAGCTTCTGTTCCCTAGTCGCCTTTAGAGAGGCAATCCCTGCCTCACAGCTCTCTGTGGTGCTCGGAGGTTGGTGTCCCTGTATGCTTGTGCTCTGTATCGAACTTTTCATGGCAAGTAGCTTGCAGAGGCTTTCCATGGTTACACCTCATGACTGAACAGAGGGCTTTACAGACATGGAGCAGGGGTTCAGAAAGGCTCTGGGAGCAGCCCCAGGCTCACTGCTGCTAAGCGATCAGGCTAGACCTCAAGATTTGACTGCTTAGATTCCAGGTCACCTTCTTAGCACCCAGTGTGTGGCATCCAGTGCTGCTGTCATGAATATAAACTTATTTTCTTAGAGTCCTGTGGTTAGAAGTTCAGTGTGAGTGTCCCTGGGCCAGAAGTTGTCAAGGCTTCTGGGGGTGTATCTGCTTCTCACCCTCTTCCAGTTCCACTTTAAGGACCCCTGTGGTAATGGGACTCCCCCTGGGTGTGCCAAGACCCTCTCTTAGTGTAAGGTCAGCTGAGCAGCTTCTGCCCTGGTCCACTGTGCTGTGTAACCATGTGGCCACAGGTTCTGGGGAGGGCTGGATGTCTTGTAAGCCTTATTCTTCCTAGCTCAGGATGCTATCTTTGGGTCCCTGGAGAGGCACCTCTGTCCGTCTGTCTGGAGTCCCTGGACTACTGCTTGCTGCACTAAAGTCCTTACCAAGTGTTCTGCTTCCGCCTGGCTTGGCTTCATATTGCCAAATTCCATTTCATGCCTGTGTTCACAGGGACAAATTGGGACTTTATGGCTTAATCATTCTGAAAGGATCTTTGTTGGGCTTTGCTTTGAGTCTGACAAGATAATCCTACCCCTGAGCTCTGTTTAGGCCTTTGTAACCCTTGTGCTTGGTCTATAAAAATAAATTGAGCCTCTTGCTCCTGCTAGGAGATACTTCTTTTGAGAAGAGGGGAAAGCAAGCTGTACCCTAAAGAGGAGGAAGGGAGGAGGAGATCTAACAGATGTGTCCCAGTGCCGTGTGACTCACAGTCCAGGGGTGCCTGCTGGTTGCCTTCTTCTGCTTTTATACAGCTGTGCTTGGGAAGCAGGACAGTGCTAGGTGAGCAGTAGACACAGGTCACAGAGAAGGGCCCACTCTCTGCAGTCTGCGCATTCAGGGGCCTCAAGTGCAAGCTGAACCCTGTCAGAGTCCTGTGTGCTCCGTCTTTAGGGCTTGCTGTCCATGCCCAACAGTGTTGTAGGACACAGAACTCTGCTGTGACTTATTAGCTCTACAACCCAGGGTAGGCTGAGTCACACCACTTCTGAACCTGTTTTCTCATTTGAAGATGGCATGATCGCTCAGGCTCTATCGTAGGGTGGTTGTGGATTAAAAGACCTATTTTAAGTGGGAACCATTCACAATTGTACTTGGTGTTACATAAATGCTCAATAGGTCTTAATTGTTATTGTTGATTTTGTTTGGTAGTAAAAATAGCTCAGAGAGATTCAAGAAATAACATTGGCTACATATGGGGGTCTAGCCCCAGGTGAGGTCAGGCCTGAAGAAGGAAGGATGCAAGAGCATCCCTGTGCCTGACTCCTTACTCCCTAGACCCCTCTCCATTCCTCTGCTCTCTGCAGCTGTACTTGTGAAGCAAGGACGAGGGAGGAGTGAGCCAGGCACAGGGATCGGATTCGGAGTTTTCCAGCCTGTCTGACTGGCAGGCTCAGTGCTTCTTTATTTATGCAGGATTTAGTAGGCAAGGATAGAAGCGTGTTGTTCCAAAACAGATCATATCATTTTTGTCCCTGGACATGTGTGTTAACTTCCACTTGGTCATAAGTTTAGTCATCATTGAGAAACCTCTGTCAGAATAGAATTATCTTTTACAATCATTTTCCTTCATCAGTCCCACAACCCACCTTTTAACAATATTGCCCTTTCAAGGGCCTATTGTACTAAAGCAGGACAGCCCATTCTCAAGCTGGTAGTTCTTGTGCTTTCGAGGGCACTAGACAGAAAGAAAATCTCCAAGATAGCCTGGGCAGACCGTCATGTCCCAAGCAGTGCATTATCAACTTTGAATAGTCAGAGTGCTAATTATCATTAGGCCCAGGAAAATTCTTCAGGCTAAAGCTGCTGCAGTTATTATTCAGTTTCTTCCATAACACAATGTTTATATTTTATATATTTGTAGAACTTATTCATATGTCTAATCTTGGTATTTTTTGTTTCTTGGTCATGCAACACAACAGTGGCCCTGTATGAGTTAACTTTTTCTAAGAAAGGGAGGTCTTAGTACTTTATTCTTCTATCATTTATCTACAGCATTCTTTGTCCATCAGTATTAGAAAGAGGCTTTTAATTTGATCTGCCAACTTCTTTAGCCTATTGTTTGCCTTTTTAAGTTTACTTTGCTCTGATTATCCTGTTCCTGAGTAAGTGCAGGGGCAGATGTGCCAAGAGTATCTTTGAGTCAGGATTTCTCTGACATATTTATTTGGATCACAACCTTCAAGGCATAAGGAAGACCTTCAAGTAGGCTCAGATAAGTAAATTTCCCTAAGGGCAGGAGGGGTACTATGGTCAGGACATTCCTGGGGAAGCTTAGAAGCAGTACTCCTGGGAGAAGGCGTAGATGATTCATAAGAAAATTTTCATCAATCTAACATCCCCAAGTTGTATAAATAATATCTCCCCCACCCCCCGCCCAGCCAATGTGTGATCAAGTCCAACATGGAGATCAAAAGATCCAAAAGAGTGTGAGACTGCACCATAGCGATTGCATCACTCAGCTCAGCTTTGCTGGCTGTTTGTCAAGCAGCTGTGCTGGCTTTATGACTTTCACTATTCCTGTTAGATATGCTGTGCTAGCTACAAAGATCCCCTCAGCTCTTCCTTTAGATCATGGACCTTAAGCTCCTGAGATTTGTTTGTTTGTGACAGGGTCTCTACACAGCCCTGGCTGTCCTGGAACGCTCATGTAAACCAGGCTGGCCTCAAGTTCACAGACATCTGCCTGCCTTGGCCTCCCAACTACTTGGATTAACAGTATGCACCTGGTTCTAGGGATAGCCTACAGACCTCTTCTTCCTGATTGTGTCCCCTACAGAATTAGCAGCTCCTGCATTACTTAGTGAGAGCCTCAAGATTTCATGCTTTCTCCATTGTTTTCTACCCTCATGTGGTGAGCGATTAGCCCTCCTCAAGAATAGATGGGTGGTGCAAGACCTGAGAGGCTGAGACTCTGTCTCATGTCCACCCCATGTACAGCACACAGCTAGGTAATCAGTAGAGATGCCTGTGTGTGGCCACGGTGACACAGTGAAAAATGTGACATTGCAGTTCCTTGTCATAGTGACAGTCCTGGCCACCTCGTATGGAGTGGTCCACATGCGGTAGCTCATTTCATCAACATTAAGGCCTGTAAGTCAAGGGAGTTTCCATCTCTGGTTTTAAGATGAGGACGTGGAGGCAGAGGTGTCAAGTGACCCGTCCAGGGTGACACAGGCGGTGGAGTAAGGGTCTGGAACTGAACTCTCAGTGAGTGAGTTTCTGAAAGATGAGCAAGACTGACCAGAATTCTAGTTAAAGCCAGTGGAGGCATTCCAGTACACCGTGACCCCTCGTGAACTCCAGCTCTAGGCCCTCAGTGCAATGGAGTCAAAACACATGCTGGAGAATCCTGGATAGATTTTTTTTTTAACCTCTTCCATGACCAGTGATCTTTTTCCATGCACAGGTAGGGCAGAGGATAGGCCCTTAATCATTCCTCTAATGGGAGGCATGTGCTGGCAACCCTGACCTCTGTCACTGAGTGCCAGCATTGTCTTGTCTCTGTGTGATCCCCCCAAAAGCCTTTTCACATTTCCAGTTTTCCTTTGGGGGCCTCCTGTTTTGGGGAGCCCTTATCTTCAGCTGGCTCTGAAGTTTCCTGAAGGCACATTGAGGGTCTCTTCTCTAGGCCATTGCTTTGGCTTCTGTTACACCTTTCCTTTCTGCTCTTCGGTTTCCTTGGCATCTGCTGGCTGCAGATTTGCCTTTGGCTGCAGTGCGGGGGAGCTGAAAGAAACAGCCTCTCTGAAGGCCAGGTACTGCGCTGAGAGCTGTAGACATGGGCCTGTAGTACGGTAGAATGTGCCTCACCCCTGGTTTGCTGGAGGCTGAGGCCAGGGGATCTGAAATTGGAGTTCCTGTCTCAAAAAAGAGAAAGGGAAAAAAGTAGGTGTTTTGTTTACAGAGCTGCTGCTTTCCGTACAGACTAGACCTTTCCTTCCCTCAGACAATTTCATCCTAGTCCTGGGCTAAAGATTTTCTTCCCAACTCACTGAGTTCTTTTCTCACTCCTAGGCAAGGATGTGTTTTTGTTTTTGTTTTTTTAAACCTATAACCTAAGACAGCAAGACTCAATGGAGAAAGAGGCAGCATAGCCAGAAAGCAGCAGAGCTGGGCATAAGCTCCTTCACACTGAATTTACCATAGGGGAAAACAGTTGTCTTGAGGGAGAGGGACAGCTGGGATGTCCAGGGCTGAGGACCTCCTTGGCAACTTGGGCCTGGCACTTGTCTTTTAGGCCAACACTAACACAGATCTGAGGCTGGTGGCCGCCAATGGAGCCCTCCTGAGACACCGAGTGCTGCTGGGGGTGACAGACACAGTGGAAGGATGCCAGAGTGTGATCCAGGTACTGTGTCTCAGAGTGACCTTTCCCGGTGGCCTGCTTGCAGGTGGCCTTGTGTTCTTCTGGCCTGCATTGTGGGTGCAGTGAGTGGCCTGCTCGTCCACTCCCCACCCCACCCCCGTTCCAGCCTCTCCCTCAGGACTCCTCTCTGCTGAACCTTGCAGTTAGGCACTGTAGGAATCAAGGTCCCTGCAGAGTCCCTGTGCAGTATGAGCTTGCACACTTATGAGGATGACAGATACACACAGTGGCTTTAAAGTGAGAGCTTGTGGTGGCCCAGGGCTGCAGCTGAGTGATGAGACTGGAGAGCCAGGTGAGGTGCTAAGGCCTCATGTGTCTGGCTCAGTACTTTTCTGTCTTCCTAAGGCAGTAGGAAGTTGTGTGTGGACATGGCTGAGGCTGGATTTGATCCTGGTTGCCTCAGCTCATTGCTCAGTACATTGTGTCTTATCTATGATCCTGGTGATATCTCACCTTGCTTCTTGCGTGGCAGGGGTGTACATTATTCTTAGTCTACAACTAAAGATAGCAAGGCTTAGGGAAGAGACACAACCTACATAGCCAGGAAGTAGAGCTGGGTTGCAGCAAAGGCTCTGCCTCCCTGGCATGCTTATGCTCCATTGTTTGCAGCCCTTTGCTTCAGGGAAGCCCAGGGATGCGTAGAGTGTGTGTGCACGGAAGACCTAAGAGCTGTGCCTTCTGCACATCTGACAGATGTCTGCTGAGAGCTTCCACATGCCAGACACTGTTCTCTGGGTGGAGCTGGGGCTGAGGATACACACGTCCTTGTTTAACAGAGCTCATCACAGCTGGATAGCATGGAGGATAAAGTTATCTCACCTGAGATTGCTGGCAGTTCAGATGGGACATCTGCATCTCGGGAGTCTACGACTCCTTCCTAGCCTCATTCATTTCCGAGTCTCCTCTCTCGGCACACAGGAGAGACCCCTGGAATGTAGTTGAATCTGTAGTTGTCCAGGTGGCTAATGAAGGAACACATCTTTCCAGACAGGGGTTTCTTTTATCTTCACAATGGCATGTTGGCATAAGATGACACAATGGCATGTTGGCATAAGATGATATAATGTCTGAAGGTCTTTCAGAATTCCCAGAGGTGATGGGCAAGGAAAGAGGTAGCAGGGGTGGGAATGGAGGGAGTTGTTAAAACAGGATGAGAGAGTGTTCCCATCTCCTGTGTATGTTTGAGATTTTTTTTCGCAGTAAAAAGATTTTTAAAAACAGCCATGTGAATAGATAGATCCTCCTCGGGGTTGAGCTGATGGGAGAGACTATCTGGCAGGGAGGGCCATGACCTTTGGTTTCGGGGTCAGTCATCTTGAGCAGGGAGCAAGGTGGTGAGTGCAGGTGTTAGATTCAGGATTCTACTTTTCTGCAGAACTTGATTCTCATGTGTGTGGCACCATCAAAGCGTCTCGAGGGACACAGAAGTTTTTGGCTTAGTAAGGATAGCCTGGCCTGGGGTGTGCTGAGGCTGCAGTGGAAGGAGAGGTTCAGGGTATCAATCAGGATGTCTCTCTTACCTGCACCCTTCCAATGAGAACATTGATATTAACAACCTTGAATCTGGCACTGCTTGGTGGAGATGTCACTTGTGAGGGCTTTTCTCTTTTGCCCTGAGATTTGGGTCTCAGACAGAATGGTACCCATTTTTCTGAGGGTTAAGGTACCATTCCCCTTCCTCAATGGACATGTGATGGCCGAGGGGGCTTGGAGTCTGTCCGAGGTGCTTGTTGGGAGGGAGATGGGCTCCAGACATTGTGTGCATGGCTGGACACACTCTGAATTTGCTTGCAAAGCTCTTTTTCTGGGTTGGCCACGGAACTTAGGGGCAGGGTGCCCACCTAGTGCTCTCTCCTGGGTCCTATCTCCGGTTCCACCAATTTGTTAACCCTGCCTGCCAGCCACGCAGATGAGTTGCAGTCACACTGTTCCTGCCAGACAGCAGGCATATCAAGAGGTTATCAAAAGGGTGGGCCTAGATGAGGAGGGGGAGCTGGGGAATGGCCCTGAGGTTAGAGGTTCAAGGTCAGGCCACTGCTGTTTCTCTTCACAGCTCTGGTTTGTCTACTTCGACCTGGAGAACTGTGTGCAGTTTTTGTCCAATCATGTTCAAGAAATGAAGAGGAGCCAAGAGGTAAGATGGCTGGCTCCTTTTCTAGGATCAGCCATTTCCTGGGATCTCAATATCCTGAGGTCAGGATTGCAATGGCACCCTCCCTCCTGTCTGGCTAGAACCTTTGGCTTGAGGCAGGGTTTGCACCCTGGTTGATTCTCTTGCAGCATGTGAGTAGACACTCTCATCCCAGCTGTGATGAGCTAACAAAAGCATGGAGGGCAGAGGCCGTCCACAGGACCCTGCTCTTGTGGGGAAAAGTGTGATCCCACTATCTTAGCTCACTGAGGTCAATGTCCAGCTCTCCAGCTGGTCAGAGTCTGCTGGACTTAGAGCATACCTGTGCCCCCTCTGTTTTCTTTGTAGTCATTGCTGAGAAGCAGATTAAGCCAGCTATGTGTTGTCATGGAGACGGGAGTGAGCCCTGTGGTGGAAGGGCCTGAGGACTTGGAGGATGCTCCCCTCCTGCCCAGCACTCCTGGTCCTCAGGAGAGACCGCTCATGCAGACTGAACTCTATCAGCTTGTCCCAGAGGCTGAGCCAGAGGTAATGGTGCCACAGCTGTCACGGAGGTCCTACCTTGTGGGCCCCCATGTGGTCATGGTCCACGTGATGGCTCAGGCTTTATGTCTTGGGGTTGTAGCTTCCCTTAGTTGCTAGAGACAGTTCTAATCTTGAAGGTCAAAGCTTTCTTTTCTTTTTTCTTTTGTTAACTCCAACACTTACTTATTTATTAATTTGTTTTGTTCTGACACTTCTGTTTTGACATAACAGAATTTTGCTCTGTAGTCCAGATTGGCTGACCCACAAACCTCCCAGCTGCTGGGATTTCAGGCTTCATCTTTACACCAGTACTTTAAATCATTGTTTATGGGGATTAATGTTGTACTTACTGGGACTTCTGGTTGCATTTATAAATACCTTGGCCACCCTTTTTAATAGCTATGCTGCGAGGATTGTTGTGTGTTGATGAACTCTAACCTATGATCAACATGGATAAATACTGATCTTTTGAAAGTCTATTGCTGGACATGGTAAAACATGCCTGTAACACAAACACTCATGAGGTGCAAGTAGGAGAATGGCAGGTCTAAGGCCAGACTGGCCTACACAGGGAGGCCCTTAAAGAATAAAGATTGTGTTGTTCAGCTGATCAGTCACATGTTCATGTATCTGTCTGTCTCTCTGTCATTGTTCATACATCTGTCCATCATTATCCATCCATCCATCCATCCATCCATCCATCCATCCATCCATCCATCCATCCATCTGTTTGTTCATCAATCAGCATCCATCCATCAGTTTAGCCATTATCATCCATTCATCCATTCATTCATCTGGCCATCCATCTATCAATCTGTCCCTTTGCATTATCTGTTATCATGCATCAATCATCCACAGTTCTGCCTACTTGAATCCTAGTCGCTGTTTGGATCTGTGTGAATATGTTCACTCTGAGCCCCAGGTCCCCTGCAAGGTTCTGCTTTTAGGCTATGTATGGGGTCTGGTTCTTTGCTGGTAGACCTGAAAACTACGAGGACAGACCCAGACAGTAGGAGTGATCTCAGCTGACATTTGGAGCTTTGGAGATCACTTGAATTTTTCTTTCATTCCAGGGCTTTAGAGAATCAAGGTTCAGCCTAGCCCAGGCTTCCTTATTTACACTGGTGGAAGTCTGAGGCTTCCCACCAGGGGTATTTAAGAGAGAAAATGATGGCTGTATCAGTCTCTTCACTTTATTTTTATTTTTAACAGAACAGAAAAGACTGATAAGGCCATGTGTTTTATTCAAGATGGCTTGTGTGTCTGGGTTGACATGCAATAACGCATTAAATATAGGCCTTTCAAATTACTCTTTCAAATTTGCTCACAACCATAGAAACACAATTTCCAGTCATAAATATCAAGTGTGTGTGTGTGTGTGTGTGTGTGTGTGTGTGCACGTGTGTGCATGTGCGTGCTTGTTTTGAAAGTAGCTCATCAGTTAGGGAAAATATAACCTATGCCCAAGTCTCAGTGTGGACTGGCTATGTCTGAAGAAGCCCTGTCTGTGGCAGATGCAGAATCAGAACAACCTCTCACATCTTTAAGGGTGTGCCTTCTTCAGCATCACTTTGCTTCTTTGACAGGGAGACTGAGACTTGCTCAGGCTTTTAGAACGAAGGAGAGGGCAGGAGAGTTTTGACAGACACCTCCCCTCGGACTCTCAGTGAACCAGTTGGGCTGTAGAGTGTTGGTTCTTACAGTGTTGATCTAGGGCTGAGTTGGTGAGGCCAGTCTGAATTAGTGAAAGGTATGTTATTTGCATTTTCAGCATCCTTTAGCCTAGAGAAAAAGACAGCTTAAGAAAGTACTGGTCCTGGGGAGCTGTTTGCCATTAACTGCTTCTTGTCCAGGACCAAGTTAGGATCTTTCTATAGTTTTGATTTTGTGTTGTTTTGAGGCAGAGTTTCACTCTGTAACCCAAGCTGGCCTTTAACTCAGTCAGTAGTCCAGGCTGGCCTTGGACTCATGGCAACCATCTGCTTTAGCCTCCTGATGCGGAGATTAGAGAAGATTGTACAAGCCCCCTGGCTTCTGCTTCTTAGCATTGCTGGTGGATCCAGTGGTCTTTACCAAGCTGGACCAAGACTTCATGCTCCTGCGGCCTCATGCCGCCTCTCCACAGTCCATGTGACCAGTGAAGACAGTGCCTCAGGCAGGCAGGGACGTGCCCAGTGAGCCGCAGGGTGGAGGAGCTGGAATTCCCTGTGTCCTTGATCTCAGTACCTGTTTTTAATTACTAGTTTTCTGGAACCCACACCGTTTTATTACATTTTGATGGACTCAAGTGAGAGATTTAAGCCTCTTCTCTGCAATACCAACTGGTCAGTCAGTGAGTGAAACTTTACAGAGAGAGAATGTTTAGAGAGAATACATGATATCCAATTATTTTTTTTCTTTATAATCTTTTTTTTTTTTCATTTTTGTAAGATAGACACATGGGATTTGCCACCTTTGTTGTGTAACTTCCACCATCACTTGTCTCCAGAATGCTTCCTCTCCTGGACATAAACCCTTTTAACACAGTCTTCCCTTCTGCCTTCCCCAGACCTGGAACCACTGTTTCCTTCATGTGCAGTGTTTGTTCCTTTGTGGTAAACCAGTTTTCATAAGCAAATTCTCAGCATGTCTGGTAGAAAGATGTTTATCAGACAACATATGTGAACTGAAGGTTTCCTATCATGAGAGGCTTCCTGCTATTCAGCCCCCATTAGTGATTTTCTTCTAGTGACGGAGTCTGACCTCATGAGTGTAGGTGGGGGAGTGGTACTTCTCCAATACTCCTAGGTTGCAAGTCTTCTGGTGCTTGGGATGCTGCCCAGAGCGTCCGGCATGGTAAGTGCGTGATTCACTTCTGAGCAGATCCCTCGGTCAGTCCTTGTGTGTCTTGTTAGTGAGGCCTTCTTGGGGATGAAGCAGCCAAGGCCACAACAATTCCTACCCAGTGGCTTGCAAAGTGGGTGTTCTAGACCAGGATGCATCGTCCAAGAGTCCCAGGCACTGGCCTGGCTTGTTCTTTTCATTGAGCTTCCTTCCCAGGTCGAGGGCAGGATGACAGTGTGCTTCGCCTGTGCCTAAGCCCGTCACCCCTGGTCTGTCTGCTTATGTTGCTCCCTGCTTCCCATAGGAGATGGCCCGGCAGCTACTGGCAGTGTTTGCTGGCTACTACACCCGGCTCCTGGTGACCTCTCAGCTTCCCCAGCCAATGGGAACACGACACGTGGACTCTGCATGTGTCCCATGCCCCTGCCAGCTCATAGAAACACACATTCTGGGCACAGGATGCTGCCCATTCCTGGCCAGGTGACCCAGGGACAAAGACGTTCATCTTCCTCCAGGACTGAGAAGTGGTGGAGCAGTCAGGAGCCCAGCATGGCCAACAGTGAGTTCAGATGAAATCAGCAGTTGGGGACGCTTTGGAGAGTGTCACTCATGGAGGCCCTGGGCTCATAAAGTGCACGCCAGATGCCTTGCTTACATCATACAATGGCCTGGCCTTGCTGGATCTGATGCATGAGCTAGAGTTGACGGAGCCTGCGATCTGGATGGAGAATTCCTTCTGTTGCCTGCAGAGCTCTAGAAACCTGCAGCCGACCCCAAAGGACATGTCCCTGACCCTTGGTGTCAGATGGGAAACTGAGGCTCAGAGAGTACGCTGCTCTTTCTGCATTGCCTCAGGCTGCTGCTGTCATAAGCCGACCCGTGTCCAGTGTCAGGGAAGATTGTCAGAAGGGTGAGCCTGTTTGTGAACTGCAGTACTGTCTGGGCTTGCTGACTGTTAGCACTTGGAAAAGAAGATCCTACTGGACTCAGACTGATTTTGTGGTGCAGCATGCTAGCTTGTGATTGCAACTCCATCCTGCCGAGCAGCAGTGGTATTTCTGACACTCACATTGTTCTGGAATGAAGTATGATTACTCTGGGCTTGTATGAAGAGCTCATAGATCTCCACAGAGTTTGAAGACTGTCCACAAAGTCCAGCTCCAAGAACTAGCCTTCGTGGTTTTTGTCCCCCAACAAATCATTATTATAAGTTGGAACTCTCCTTGAACTGGCATATGTTTTCATTCCTGTTGGGCTCTTATTCATGCCTCAAAACCCAGATTTCCGTATACCTCCTGCTGCTGTATCATTGAAATTCCATAATAAGAGCTGCTCCTATTGTGTATGTTTTATGTTATTCTATTTCTCCCTTGTACATACCTCTTTTCTGTCAAGACTGTAAACTCCTCAAGGTCCAACACTGTACCCATCTCCCTTGTGGGAATGACCTGGACTTGCCTAGAAAAAAATAATTCTCAAAAGTCCCATGGATTGGTTGCCTTGTTCTGCAAACATGGTAGAATAATATCCAGATCATGATGGACCAGCGCTCTGGCCTTGAGTTGTGTCTCTTTATTTGTCCACCCTCCATTTGCTCATCCTCACAGGCTGGATGATTCTGATAATTTCCAGCTTATTATGCCATTTGTTTTTCTTACCTCCATGCACAGAGTGATCCCCTGACCCCGAGCTGAGCTGTCCTTGGTGGGGGCCTTCAGAGGGAGCGCTGGCCTAAGCTAGGAGCCTGGAGTACTGTTACCCATCTGCCGTCTCCAGCGCTGTGCTGAGCGCATTGCTTCTCAGTGTGCCCATTGATGCCTTTATAGAGCGATGTGGCGGACTGAAGTGGCACAGTTCAGGAGACGTGTCTCACCTCTGTGCGTTCTCTGTGTCGGCGGTGGGGGGTCCCCAGCCTTGTCTTGTGGCAGCTTTGCGCAGTGGAGTTATTCACTGTCTTTTGGCCCACTGTGGGAAATGTCACTCTGCAGTCTGATCAAGGGAAGCCCGTGCTTGCCATCTGGATGACCCTTCAGGGCGCTAATGGAGACTAAACCTGTGTTTCCTGAGTGGCGGGCGGCTATGCTCATGAGGGCTTGGTGTGGTCCTTCCACATTGTCTGCAACTTCTGCCCTCCTGCCTTCTGGATGGGGCATTTGGGGTAACCCATGGTGGACATTTCTTTGTGTGTGCCTCAGTTTCCTTCTTTGTAAAATCCATATCTAACACACAGGTTTCACAGGTTAGAGGTTGGATCATCTGGCTCTAGACGGCCACTAGTTCGGGTTTTTAATTTTCATTTTACTTTTTTATCTTTTTAATCACATGTCTGTACATGTGAGTGCTGGCAATTTAAACTCAGGTCGTTTGCAAGCATGGTCCACACTCTTACCTACTGAGCCATCGCTACAACCCATTGCTCCTGGCTCTTAAGGCGTGTTGCCCATCAGAGGCAGAGGCCACGGACACACTGCCATGCAGGTAGGAGCATTATGCAGGTAGGATTCAAAGTCGAGTCCTGCCACGTATCCTTCCTGCCTTCTGCTCTCCATCCCATCAGTCAGTGGGAAGGAGAGAGTCTGCCTGGCAGATGTTTTGAAAGAAACAGAAATAAGCTTCAGTGCTTGCAACACCAAGTCACAAGCTGGAGCAGGAACTCAACAACCTGTCATGGTTTCTTTTTTAAATTCCTGCTGTCTGGTATACAGTAGGTGCCTGTATGGATTTAAGCTGACTCTTGCCTCACGCTCAGTTATTCCAGCCGCACAGGAGTTTGTATGCAAATAAAGATTTGTCAAATCTCAAGCTCAGTAAGGGACAAAGTCATGGTGAAGGGAGCCTTCTCTGAGCCCCTCACTTCCTCATCTGTCAGGACAAGGTTGTGTAATGAGGGCAGGAAGAGAGCTACTGTCACACAAACCACAAAGGCTGTTTCCTGGTATGTCCCTCTGAGAATTCAGCCACTAAGGCTTTCATTTCATCTCTGTGGTCCTGGGGCTGAAAGTCAGGCCTCTCGCATGTAGGAATACTGAGCATGTGCTGTCTGTGAGCCCCTTCCGGGCCCCCGGTGATAGCTCTTTCCCGCTCAGCAACTGCCAAATGGTTTCTTATTTGAACACAAACACAGGTTTTTAACAGGTTGTTTAGATTCATCATTAATGTTTTCAGTTAGTTTGTTTTACCAATGACCCAGTAAGGGGGAACTCCAGGCATGACTTGTAGATTTTTAATTTCTTTTATTTCTACTTTTTTGTTTTGTTTTGTTTTGAAGACAGGGCTTCTCAGCCTTGGCTGTCCTGGACTTGCTTTATAGACCAGGCTGGTTTTGAACTCACAGCAGTCTGTCTGCTGGGATCACAGGCGTACTCCACAGTGGTGGCTTACTTTTTTCTTTTCTACTTTTAGTTAGGGTCTCATTTAACTGAGTGATGGCCTCTCTCGCTCTCTGTGTAGCTGAGGATGACCTTGAATTCCTAATTGTGCCATGACTTTCCAATTGCTGAGATTGCGCAGCAATGCTGGGCTAGGACTCCAGGTATTCTTCATGCTAGGCAGGTGCCTTACCAACTGAGTTCCATTCCCACCCTCTTGACTTCTGAGAACATTGTGTGTATGTATATGTGGTGGGGTGCGTGTGTGTGTGTGTGTGTATGTGGTGGGGTGCATGTGTGTGCGTGTGAGTGTATATATGTGGGGTGGGGTACATGTGCCTGGGCGCATGTGTGTCAAAATCACAGGGAGACATCAAGTGTCCTGCTCTGTCATTCTCTACCATATTTCCTTGAGACTGGGTCTCTCACAGAAGTTAGAATTTGGCAGGCAGGCAGCAAGCCTGAGCAATCCTCCTGTTTTTTCCTCCTGTCTTGCTGTGCTTGGCTTTTTAGACATGCGTGCTAGGCCCATATGGTTGTTCCCAACTCTCTGTAAACTTTAGTTCCAGAGGATCTGACACCTTCTTTCGGACTCCGTGGGTACCAGGCACACATGTGCTGTACAGAAATGCGTACAGACAAGGCACCATGCACATAAAAAGGAAACCTAAAAAAAATTAATAAAGGAAGAAAAAGACAAGAAAAGAAAACGCAGATGTTGGGGATTCAAACCCAGGTCCTCAGGCTGTGTTGCTTGACAGGAAGCACAGGGTACTCAGGAAATTTCTCTGTTGTCCTCTCAATTGGCTTGATCCTAAAATGGGTATAGAAATGTCATCCAGCAAAATAAAGACAAAAACTGTGGAGAAATAAAGGGTGATGTTTCTCAAGGATAAAAGGGGCAACTAATGGAGAAGTCGCAACAACTGTGCATCTACACCAACAGCAAGAGAGCGAGGGCCCTGAGAGCGCTCCCTGGCCTCCGGAGCACTGCAGTGCGGTTCCTGGCACCTGCCTCAGGTGACTCACAAGGCTCATTAATGCCTCCTACTCCAGCTCCAAGGAATCCAGCACCCTCTTTTGGCCACCGTGGGTGCCTGCACACATGTGGCATATACACAAGCCCATATACAGGTAAATAAAAAATAAAGTCTTGAAAATAAAAAGCAGAACTCGATAGAAATTAATACCAAATATAGGCCATTAGAAAATATTCATCTATAAAAAAGTGTACAAGACTACCACAGCATTACTCTTTTTTTTTTTTTTTAAGATTTGTTTATTTTATATATGCGAGTGATCTGTTTTCATGAATACCAGAAGAGGAATCAGATTCCATTGCAGATGGTTGTGAGCCACCATGTGGTTGCTGGGAATTGAACTCAGACCTCTGGAAGAGCAGCCAGTGCTCTTAAGCTCTGAGCCACCTCTGCAGCCCGATAGAGTTAAAGAGTGCAAGTAACCCAGAAGGCTGACAGACAAAATGTGGTAGATGTATTTGGTGGAGTAATACTCAGCTACCCAAAGGAGCAAAGTTACGATCCATATCGCTCCACCTCTGCACCCTACAACCGTGCCACACAACAGAAAGACCCTGCAGTGCCCTCTCTATACACAAAGTGGCCTGCACGGGAAGAAGCCGAAGCGGAAAGTGCCTTCATGATTGTCGGAGTTTGAAAGGGAGAAGAGGCGTGGCCACTATATGGGTTATGTAATAGGCATTTCAAAACGGTGAGTCTTATGGTATGTGAATTATATTTTAAAAAATGTAAACTGTACATATTGAAAGCAGTGACAGGAGGCTAGGGAGATGGCTCACACAATTCTGGATGGCCTGAAACTGACTCACTGTGTAGACCAGGCTGGTGTCAGATTCACAGAGGTCCACCTGCCTCTGCCTCCTGAGTTCTGGGGTTGAAGGGCACATCAGCTGATTGATTTATTTTCTGTGGTCTGACTGATTTATTTTCTGTTGTCCACCCTACTAAAGGGCATGCTAAAGGGCATGTGGGATGTTCGTAGGTTTTGATAAATATGAATAAAAGCAGTTACAGATGCACATACATTTTTTACCTTCTACCCACAAAGGAGCATGGTTGTTGGGTTTTATAAATAGAATAGGTTTTGTAATAAGCTGTCAAGCCAACTTTCAGGTTTTCTAAGCCATGTTGGATTACTGATAACTGTGGTTAAGAGTTCTTGTTCTGCTTCTTTGTCAGCATTTGGTATTGTCAGTTTCCAAGTCTTGGCCACACTGACAGGTGTGATGTGATGGCTTCTTGTTTTAACTTCCATTTTCAACCAACGTAGAATGTTTGTGGGCTTATTTGCTACCTGCACATCTTCAGTGGGACACCTGTCAAGGCCTGGCAGACACCATGCAGGATTTTCATGTTTGTTTTTCACCACAATATATAGACATTTCATTGTGTGAGGGTATTGAGGAACATGTTTTTTTTTCCTATGTATACTTATTGTAATAGTTCACATAAAGAAAAATAGAATATAACCACACTATGGTTTTGTACTGCTGGAAAGATTTTACTGGGATACGTAAGCTGTGGGAGGAAAAATAAAGTTGTTGGATCTTACTGATTGGAGTTTTGCTCCATCCACAAAATGTGTATATATATGTGTATATGTGTATATGTAAAGTGGTTAGAGCTCATTGAAGCTTTTCTTCATCCACCCAATGTGTAAATGTATGTTTGTATGTGTGCATGTATGTATGTATGTGTGAAGTTGTTGGAGCTTGTTGGAATTTGCTCATTGGAGTTTGTCTTGCTTCATCCCTGTGTGTGTGTGTGTGTGTGTGTGTGTGTGTGAAGGGTGTATGCATGATCAGTTTCTCTTCCTTTTTTCTAGTCACTATCAGTTGTAGTGATATCCAGGAGTCAGCAGCTCTGGCCCTCTGCCAGTTACAGTCAGTTTTGGCCCATGCTCACCACCATCAGTGGAAGTCTGCCAGTTAACAAGCACTTCTGGCCTTTTAGCCTCAGAGAAAAGTCTGCTGGGTGGTCAGTTGCCAACTCTACGCCCTGCCTCAGTTTACTCTGTGGTGTTGAAGCTGGCCTTCGACATCTAGTCAAGTTGACAATGAAGATTAACCACCACATCGGATCACATAGCATTGTCCAGGCTGGCCTCAAACTTTTACTTCACAATTCCTGGTTAAAATGT